TATATTTCTTGGGCAGATTTTTGTTTCCTAAACTGAGTCTATTGATTTCTTATTAAAAACATTAACACGTTCTACAATATTGTTTAAAATTTGTATATAGAAATATAGAAAATATCTAGAAAATTCTTATCTTTTGTGATAATTTCACAATGATATGCTTTAAATTTCATTTTATTTGACTCCTATATTTCTAATATTGCTTAGTTGAATTTTTTTTCTCTTTTTAAATTGGTCCACTTAGGATTTTCCATTTATCTCTGACGTCAAATGTATTATGAGGATAAGCATTATTACCACATGCTTCAAAATTTGCAAGGTTTTTTCTATTATATTTTCTACATAATGATTGATGTTTTTTTTTTTATTGCATGTCTCATAAACAAAATTCTGAAGTTTTTATGATCTTATTATTTTTATTAGGCTCGAGTCTAGTGGGTTGTTGGGAAAATGCATTCATTTATATTCTATCAATTATATCTATGTACTTAGAGTGTTTTTTTTTTAATTAACAAGTGGAATGTGTTCATGATGTATGCATCCAATATTTTTTCAAGTAACCTTTAATTTTTTTAATAAGAATTTGTCAGTGTCCTTTTCAGCTTTTATAGATATAGCATTTTCATTTTTTTTTTAATGACGTTAATTGATGAATCAGGAGGAATAGTTTTGGAACTAAATAATTGAAACTTTGCATTCTTATTTATATTGACATTCTCTACTTAATGATGGATGGTTTTTAAACAAATATCTCGAAGGAAAATTTTTCAGAATTTTTTTATTTATGTATTTTTTTTATTAGGTTCGTGTGTTAATTTTTTTATCTATCTATTCTGTCTTAGTTTTCTAATTGCTTTTTAATTCATGAATGGTATATGTACATGGTGTATGCATCCTATATCATTCATGCAGCCCTCTATTTTATACTTTTTTTCATTTTTCTCAATTTTGCATTTTCAGAATTTTTTAGGAACGCCAAATAATTCGGGAGGAAAAGTATTCTAGCAACAGCCTTCAAACATTGCATGCTTCTTTTCACTGATATTCTTTACAAAATTCAAGAGGCTTTTTTTTATATATACCGGATATATCCAACTAGAGAGGTTTTATAACATTTTTACATTTGCTACCCCTGAAGAGTTCTTGAATATTTATGTGACCCCAAAGGAATGATGTGACCTAATTGAATGAGTTTATTGGCTGCCTACTCCTTACTGGCCCCTAATTTATTTTAGGGATTACTTGAGTACACAACTTAAATAACTAACATCCAAACAAAAAATGTTCTCAAGTCAGTTAAGTTTTTTTTTTTTACTATTAAATTTTAAATTATGTACCAGTGTGTTAGACCCAGTAGACAGATATGGTAAAAAAAAAAAGACTAGTCCTCCAAAAATAAGTCTCTTTCTCATACTTTATACAATGGCATCCTTTAACTTTAAGATGTTCATTGATGTGAGTAAAAACGAGTAAGATTTCCGGTATACTGTATACAACACACTAGTGCTTGACAACAGTAGCCCGATACACACTACAACTACACTACATTTCGTCCAATGAAAATTAACAATAAAATAAACAAAGGGGAATGACTCCTGCATCAATATTGAATAAAAACGCAAATGACGTCATGAGCACGCACGGAGCTCAACAACATCCTGCCGATAATAGTATTGATAGTTCCCATCGAATATCGCTCACAAATTTTTCGTGAAATAACTTTCTTCCTTTAATTTTAATTATAACTGACGTATATTTATTGTCACATTTATGTATTTCATTTAAAAAACGCTTGCATTCCATAATATTACGAAAGGTAAAGGCTAAAGCGGAGAACGGTACCCAAGATGGCCGCCATAGTTGCAGTGAATTAGGGTTCAGGTTAGGTAGAGGGATCGATTTAGGGTTCAGGTTAGGCATAGGGATTGATTTAGGGTTAGGGTTAGGCATAGGGATCGATTTAGGGTTCAGGTTAGGCATAGGGATCGATTTAGGGTTAGGTTTAGTAACAGTATTAACTGGTTGTGTCTACCAATATGGTGGCCATCGCGGGTACTATTCTCCTTATTTACCAAGGTAAAATTTGTAATTAACATGACATTGGGGAAGCACTGATGAAGTATCTTTTGTTGTGTGTAGCAGCCTAGTGATGGCTTACTCACATCACGTGACCAAACAAGGAAGTGACTAAGACTAAGGGACTCCCATTATGACCTTGTTTTTAAATTTCGATAACTTTTTTTTCTATATCTTGTAGAGATGTGGAATTTCTTGACATCTCCATATTTTTGCGTTAGAATATGTATGCAACTATCAAAAAATGTTTTGGCCAGCTATCAACAAATGTGTAGGTCAACTATCAACAAATATTTAGGCCAGCTGTCAATAAATATGTAGGCCAACGACCAACAACAAAATCTTTACCCCTCCCCGAGATAAACCATAACAGGCGGAATAATATGCACAATATAATTTTACCTTTACATATTTTGTATGAAAAAACTCTCAGTGTAGGTGTATTTTCTGTACCGTATTCAATACATCCACATTATTTACGTTAAACCGTTCCAACTTAGTAGAGTAGAGCGTCGATTGTTTGAAAACCGGAAGCGTTGGTTATCCGAAAGGCACATTATTATTTTTATCGCTCGCAATGTGCATGGCATGGAGCACATGCGCACAAGCACCGTAAAACTAAACTTACTGTAAGTATAAGAGTGTGGGCTACACGAAGTGACCAGATGGGATGAAGCGATACACACAATTGTTAACTAATAGGCCTACCAGAGTGCAGAAATCAAGCATAAAAACACTCAGTGCATTTGAATTTTAACCAAAGCGCCTGTCATATATATATTAAACGAACACTTTTCGCAGAAAAAAAATATTCAAGTCCATATATTTTTTTTTTCCATCAATTAGCTGATCCCGTGACATCGTACGCTACTGTACACTACGCCTGGAGATGTATGTAATGTAGGAATATATTGTATGCATTAACTTCATTGACGCAACCTTTCCATGGGAGTGTTTGGCTATCACGAAAGAAAACGTGTTTTTCCGAAAGATCCCCTGTCACGGTTAGATCGAAAAATCGACCCGTTGTTGCAGGTGATCCTAGCCTAGGATGCCCGTAAACCCCGGGGTGTGGAGAAGAGTGTCAGGGGAGTACAGGAAGAATAAAAAAATATGATTGTATTTGCATTTAATTCGAATTATTCTTTTATTGCGGGGGGGGGGGAGGGGGGAAAGCGGGACAAGTATTTTAAAATCAAGATAGAGGCTTGGCAAATGTTTTGAGATCTAGAGGGGGGAGGGGGAAGAATCTATTCTCTAATGTATTTATAGTCAACCTTATTTTGTGTATTATTTTATACTAGATACAACCCGCCAAACATTGGCGACAGAAATGCGTGAATTTCCCATCTACTAAAGTTACTTGACAAAACATGAACTCAAGTAACGCACATTTAAGAATCCCAATTTTTGCTACACCTCTCCCCCCTTCCCATGTTACGTCACTGCACACTTTTTATTTCACGCCCATGAACTATTTTTTTTTTAATATTCTGATGTCCCAACCACTTTTAATTCGAATTTTTTCTTTCACCATACTTAAATTTCGATGATTTCATTTTCCAAATTTTCCAAAAGAAAATATTACGCGCCAAACGCTGTTGTGTTATTTAAAAAAAAAAAAAAAAAATCATTTAGCGTAGTTTTGGGCAGTGGCGTAGCTAGGGTTGGTGTCACCCGGTGCGGTAAACTCATGGTGTCACCACCCCCCCCCCACCCCCAAAACTTCTATGATCGATTTTTTCTTGTTAAAATAAGTCCACAGTATAGCATCAACCTTGAACTTTTATGAATCTCGATTTTTGCGAGCAATGTGTGCCCTGTAAATATGCAATTTTTCAATCGGGTGTCACCCCTAAAATGGTGTCAACCGGTGCGGTCCGCACCCCCCGCACCTGCCTCGCTACGCCACTGGTTTTGGGGAATTATATTTTGGGCGCCATTTAGCTCATTATTGAACCATACTTTCATTCAAACATTTAAAATTATTTGTAATATACTCTCAATACCGAGTTCGGCGATTAAGAAGCATTCGATAAGGCAGCAGTCCACGAGTCACACCAGAAGCGTAGTATACATAAGAGATATTTCCCCGCACGTTTTCAAGGACTCTTTAAAGCTTATACTTTCGAACTGTCAACAACAAAAAAGTTATTATTTAAACAATTTTCTATCTATCTTTTGCGTGCTTAACATAACACAATACAATGTCGTGCGCATTGCGAATGATACAAATAATCTCAAATATGGTTCGTTTGTCTAATTAACGTCTCAGAAATTCGGCATTGCGTTTTACAAAACTTTGACTAAATAATGTACCTCTAGATACTGAATACCGTACAGAAATTATACATGTACTGAGCATTTTCAAAAAAAATTATCAAGCCTAATCAAGGTACAAAAATTGTACCTATGCCGCCCAGAGGCGTAACGATGGTGAGGCGGGGCAGGGAGGACAGATGTCTCCGGGCGCAAGCTAGTTAGGGGCGCCAACATGTGATTTGATATTTTATTATTGGTAAAAATAATGGGTTTGAGAGTCGAAAAAAAGAAAAGGGGGCGCTTTAAAATGGATCTTGTCCCCGGGCGCGAATCTTGTCCCCGGGCGCCGAACACAGACCAATAATAGTGAGCTTGAAGAGAAGCACACTACAAATATATACTTTTTTTTTTTTTTTTTTTTACATACATATAGTCTACCCAGTTGGATAGACCTCGTGAGAATCCCACATTTAGGCTCATGTGACAGAACAGGCACACATTTTGATAGCGTAGCATTAAGAGTCACAGCCATTTCCCGTTGATGATAAGGGGTCGGAGGTCACAGCCATTTCGCTTTGATCAGTGGGGCACACCACAGCGGCACTCTCTCTCTCGTACTGAGCCGCGTGACCGCTGGTTCTTGTTAGGCAGAAACAGAAACATCTTCTCCACGACTTAATTTCTCCTCTAATGTCCTGGAACAAAAACCATATCATGGGCGTCACCAGTGTCTGCAGGTCCGTGATGAATGAAGATATGAGGAAGAATTGCAAAGACCTGTTAAAAATAAGCAGAGAGAAATGTACATAAATCAAAGCGGGGGGGGGGGGGGGGGGGTGGAGAGATATACTTTTAACTATAATTCTAATGACTGTTTAAAGACTGATAAACTTGTTATGCCCTAATTGATGGTGCGCCCAAGTATTGAAGGGTAAATTTATTCTTAACTCGGCGTAATATAAAGCATTTGGCCCATCTCTTAGTTAACACAGGCAAAAATGTAGTGAATATTTCTTGGTGCTGAATTAACGTGCGCACGTCTCCTAATCAAACCGTGTCTCACCTTTCAATTTCAAACTCCCAGTCGTCTAAGTCAACGAACATCACAACAACGTCCGGAATCTCGAATACGACGGTCACCGACAAAGCTGTGACGTAGATGAAGCATTCGTTCGCCGGTGCGCCTCCCTCCAAAAGTTGTGCGCTTATCTCCGTGCTCGTCGCCGGCTGTCTGTCGGCCAACCAGCGTCTCACCGCAGCCCCGGCCACCAACACGATGACCGCTAGGCTCAGCGGGACGATCGTGTTGAACGACTTCATCACTCTGGGAGATTTTGTGAACTCGATGAAACAGCCCATCTTCTTCAGCTCCTCGTCGCTGAGGTGAGCTCGGATGATCAGCAAAACTGAAATCACGGATATTATCCACGGCGTCACCAGGACCCCGGCTTTCAGCGCGTTTAATCGTAATGCCGACAACTTCTTCTCAAGCTGGAACCCGCAGACGTTGCCCAAGAACGAGCCCACGAAGATCACGAGGGTCCAGTTGCCGACGGACTCGAGGACGAAGCCGAAGTTGTACCAAGCGGCCCACGCCTCTCACCATCAAACTTAAATACAGAGGGAACTCCACGCACAGGTTTATGACGCACACGGCGCCCAGGACCACGGCACACTTGTTCCTCATGCCTGCCCGCATAGCCGGGGACCACAGTATGGCCGAGAGCAACACTATCATCAAGGAGACTCCTACAGGTATCAGGGAGAGCCTCGTTATGCTAAGGCATTTTTCCAGTAACATCATTCTTTCAAAGACCGCCTTGAAGTTCTGAGTCTCGTTTTGGTTGTGGCGTCTGTACATGGTGCCGTTCGCTGTCTCGTTAACGCCGTGACTCCATGATTGGTTCGCCATTGTATTTCTTCTAAGGATAAATTTGAATTTCTCACCTGCAGTAATTTTATCGACAGTTAGGTCCAATGTTCCTCAAAGTGAGTTGGCAAACAGATGGAACACTTCATTTAGTTTAAAGACTGGCAGGGATATAAGGATGATTAGATTTAGTAGTTGGAATCCAAGTGATTTAGTTCACTATCATCACGGTCTTCGCTCGTTCAGTAAATTGCTGTTGTCAGGCTGTACGCTGGAAAAAAAGGACATTTTTATTACACGATACGACTTGGTAAGGTTTAGATAGACGAAAAGATAAATACTTCTACGACTGTTAAATATGTTTAGATAAATGTAATTAAAAGCTAAACTACCTTTTATTTTAACATATCATAAATATGTATTGAAAAATTCGCACTATATTTAAAAAAAAAATATTTTACTTATTTTTTGGTGCCTGCAGGGGCGTTGGTTGGGCGTTTTTGGGTCAACAGAAGGGGTTGTCCATTGAAAGAAATTATATAAAAAAGCCCCATCCCACACGCACAGATAAATCTCCCAATTATTCAAAATTATTCCACAATTGTTTAACTAAGTGATTTCATCAAAATAAAGAGATAACAGATACAATGCTAGGCCTTGTTAAATTAAACTAGGGTTTCTGTCCCGGAAAGCCGTAGGATTTTTTATGGAATTTTCTCTTCCTGGAAGTTTCGGGGTACACCTTTAGAAACATTTCTTTTTTATTTGAAATTTCAGCAAGTGATAGACTGTAACAAATTGTCGTTATAAGCCAAGACCTGTGAAATCACAAAGATTAATTTCTCTAGTAATAAACAGGTTCTCAAGCGTTTTCATGTCACGACCACATACTTACTGAAGCAAAGTGACCCTTGTCACGATAAATTAAAAAAAAGTCTTTAAATAGGGTAAATTCTTGGAAAGAAAAAACATTTTCAAACTTAATTTTCCAATATCATGTATTTGGCGAAACATCTAATTTCAGAATTTGAAACTATATCTCAAACTTAAGACACACATTTAAAAAAGCTATTTAAAAATCACTACTTCAATTCTTAGCTATTGTTTCAACCATAATTAATTTCTTCGCAACCCCATTTAAGTTCGCCACACAATTGTAGGAAACCTGTGCTCTAGTAACTTGACAAACACAAGATTTTGATATGTCGAACTACCTTTTTATTATGTAGTGTTTCTTTTATTTCCCAAATCTACATATTAAGACAAATACATAAATGTATATAGATACATGTATAACATTCCTAATTTTTCCTTTTTTACGGAACAAACCCTTTGTTACAATGTGTTTAAAAAAAACTTATTAAATATTGAGTGACGGATTTCAAACTAGAAATAGTGACCTGTAAAATGGGATGAAGAAAACACCACTCAAAGTGTTTAGATCTCTTCTCTGGGCGCTTATATTATATCCAACTTTGGCTCAACAAGCATATCATTATTGGTGGACTACATTCAAGTTGTACAAAAGAAATATAAGAACAGGGTATGCTGGACTTGAATTCATCGACAGGACAAAAGATTTTGACATTTCGGCTTAGAGCCTTCACTATTAGGGATCGCAGTGGAAAATAAAGCAGCTAGTAGCAAGTGGCCAACCTCTCAACTAACCGTAACATTGGTTTTTTAAATATGAATTAATAGACAATAACAATTTTACAACTGTAAAAAGAAATCATTTTAAAAAAATAGTTTAATTGATTGTCTAATATAATTTCAATTAAATTAATTTTATCCCGGGATAATCAGGGATGAGGAAAGTTGTATTGCCGTTTTCCCCGGGATAAGCAAAAGCCCGTAAAATGAAAAAAAAAAATCCTTACATTCCACTTGTTTCAACAACGATGTCTATTACATTCCACTTGTTTCAACAACGATGTCTTCTATCTCAGGAAAGGTTGGGCCTCCTAAAACTCAATAAATACACACACCGAATGAGCATTTTACAAAGGGGGTCTCAGTAATTAACTTTGAGAACCGTTGCTCTGACAGAGCTAACTTAATGCCAAAGTGAAGAATGTTGAACTAAGAGTTGAACCAGGCTTGACTCAAGCAAATAAAAGATGCCGGTAATAAAAAACAGCCATAGATTTGCGCCCCCCCCCCAACTAGAGGCCGACCGAAAGTGTTTTTCTGAATTCGGCCGAAGCCGAAAATAGGCCGAAAGTTTAAAATGACTTTCGGCCGAAACCGAAAAAAGGCCGAAAGTTTAAAAATGACTTTCGGCCGAAACCGAAAAAAGACCGAAAGTTAAAAATGAATTTCGGCCGAAACCGAAGCCGAAACCGAAAATGAAATATTAAGATATTTTGAAATTCGTTCCCGCATACATTCTGCTTACAT